AGTGTCACATTGCCAAAAAAGAAAGATAAGAACTAAAGTGTTTGTGTCGACTTGTGTCGCTTGTTGGAAACTCCCACAATTGATCGATTTCTCTATCGTTGAATCGACTTCTTTCGAGTTTCGAGTTTCAAGATGGCATTCTTCATTATCGTGATCTCTCGATTATCTCGACTGCGATTGGTTGATTTTCTTTTCGTCTCTGTTTTGTTTTCTCACGTGTCGCCGGTCGCCGGTCGCTTTTGCGCGCTAAAATTTGCGATTTAAAGACACGATTTTGACAACGGATATGTACAACGGGCATGAATATTTGTCGTGCATCAAAATCGTGAGTGATCTCACAGATCTTGGCTTTCATAGCTCTTTCGAGTAAAATAGGAAATCTATCTCACGGCCGTGTAAAGGTGACGCAAACGTAACGAACGTCACGTTTTCGCCTTTCAGCCCGCTGCAAAACAAGCCACGACGAAGAGTACGAACAAGCCCGAGAAGGCAGAACCGATGGATTTCACAGCTGATCGTCGTGATTTAATATCAGTGGCCAATAAGGTCTTCGGAGAGGGCAAATGGAATCATACAATCAGCCAAAATTTAGGTACATACATCTGTCATCGAACTGTCTTAACTGTAAATAGTAAAACCTGTAAAAGTAACCTTACGAATTTGTTGCAGACTTCGTCGATACAATAGATGCTCGAGATAAGTGCTGTGCTGGCTGCGTCAGTTTCGTTAAGATCCAGCTTGACAATGGAAACTTTCACGAGGACGTTGGTTATTATGTTGCGGAGGAATCTACAAAAGGCTTGTCAATACAAAACGCCAGAATTGTATGTGTTAATCACTTGGAAAAAATAGGCAGTGCATTTTATATCTTGGTTGAATGGTTGGGAATTTTTGTTTGCGCAGGGTTCCGCTGTAAAAACCTTTGAAAGAGTTCTCCTGTCGTTTGGAAACAATATTGAAAGAGAGCTGCAACAGCTGCGGAAACAGATTAGTCCTGAACAAACTAACGACGTACAAAAGGATGTGGCACAATCATTGGATAAGCAGATATCCAAAAAATCAAATGTTTCTGTTAACAAGTCTGTGCTGCAGACAGAGTGTCTTAGCGAACCAATTCCGAGGGAGTTTCTTACCCCCTTCTTAAAAGAATCGGTTTCTAATAAGTTTTCGCTAACAGAACATACCAGTGAACCTGAAGCAAATAAGAATTCTGTATCCTGCGTCTACCCCTTGCCAAATAAAACAAATACTACAACTGAACAGAAGCTGAAATCAGGTAATATTGAAAATTTATTAGCAAATTTGAATTTATTAATATAGGTTTGTGTAAGAAACAAGTATAAGAAATAGTATAGATTTAAAAATGATATAAATTTAAGCTATATAGATAGAATAGGTAGTTTTAAAAGAAAGTTTTTCTTAAAAGATTTTATAATATTTTTTAATTTTTCTCTTATACTACGTTTACACGAGCATTATTTCTGTATAGTAACTTACAATAATGCACTCGTTTACGCGGAGAAGAGGCTGGAACAAATAAAAAGAAAGGAGAGAACGGAAGAATACTTGTACATGTACGTCAATGTCCATCTCGAGGATAGCTTTGACGATCACCAAGGAAATGATCTCTACGACCCAGTGGAGAGGGACCACGTTAAAAACCCTCATAGAGAGCCTTTGCGAGAAATGGAAGAGAATCAAGGAAAGAATTCTGCAGTGGCATTAGGAGAAGTTGATGAGGCAACACCGACGGATCTGAAGCCTTCTTCTCTCGCAAAAATAAACACCGAAAAAATGCATAGACACGAGTGTATTATACATCCGACTTCCGCGGCCCTGTTATCAGTGAAACTGGTAGCTCCGGCGAAAGAAGTGGGTCCGAGCAACGTTGGGCTCATGGGAGCACCCGACTCCAAAGACACCGTTGCTTTTCCTGGGTGCAAGACATATAGTCAGATGAGTTACGGTTGTCTGAGTCGCTCGTACCTCGTATCGGTAATCTCTATGCCTCCTTTCTCTAAACAAAAAGTCCCGACAACGACCAACTTACGGGCACGATACAATAATGTAGGTCCAAGCTCCGGCCTAGAAGTAACTGAAAAACATGCTTCAACGATAACAGAACTTATCACCGTGTCCTCAATGGCAGCGATTGATTCACCGACATCAGAGAATCCGATCATAAAAGGTTCTTCATGGATAAAGAGTTCCATGATACCAGTCAGCAAGGTAACAATCAACCAAATGCCTGCTACTGCAATATCTGAGAGAATTCCATTCTCCCCAGAATACTTAGCTATGAGAGAAAAATTGAGTGCTACCCACGCTCCTGATGGGGCTTCTATCCTCAGTTTGGCAAAGTGGTTGAACACCACCACCGATACTGCTTGTGAACAGGCAGCACTATTAAGATTAACGTGTATGGGACTGAGTCTGGAACCCGATTTGTATAGGACTGACCCAGTCGTTGCTCAGTTTGTGAGAAGAGTGTCAACCACCCAGAGTTTGGGAATCGAATTGCGACCATTCACCATAAACAATGAGTATTTTGTGTCTGCCGCCCCTTTGGACATAGCGTTAGCAATAGCGTTAAATAAAATTGATCCATTCCCACGTTGGGGCTATACTGGATTAGATAGCGAATGGGCTATGGTACCGGTCCGTCGTGAAATGTTGGGTAGATGGTCCCTCGCCCCTTATGTGGCGTCCTTCATGCATTCACAGCTTTGGGCGGGGGATGTGAACTGGACCCATGAATGCACGTGGTTGGGCACCGATTGGGTTCCTTACAGGAAGGGCTTTGTAGCTACTATGCCCAAAATAAATTCCGTGCATATACCCGGACCGAAAAGAATAATGTTGGTCTTGATGGACTGTAACTCCAGCAATGCTCCAAAATCGGTTCTTCTTGGAACCACTTACGTACCCGTGATAACGCGCGGAGATGAGCCAAATGCTGATGTCGATTTCGTCCAAGGTGTGTGGGCGGGCTGGTTTACAGTACAGAATATAGATAACGTAAGAGCCGCAATTGCTGATGCCATGCAAGTTATGTTGAATGAAATGTGCACTGATACTGTTCCTGGATCGGTGCTGGCTCTGGCGTCTGAGCTGTATGGCAGATGGGGGTTTGGTCTCCACTCTCAACGTGACATAGAGCGTGACTATCTCAAAAAGCCGTTTTCGGGAGCGTGGGCTTTTTCCGGTTCACAGTCGGGATCTTACCCAAATACCATTGACAAAAGGAATGGAAAAGTGATGGCCAATGCATATACACCAAACGAAACAGATGGCACCAAGTGGATCGTAGATTCCGATACCTTACTAGATAATATGTTGACCGCATTTGGCTTTTGTCAACACTCTCCAGTGCATCGTCTCTCTTCTGGAGGAGTGAAGGGTACGGGATCCTATGAGATGCATACTATTGATGTGGACGGCACTAAGTGGAACATATTGGGCAATCCCACTTGTTTCTGGATAAATGAAGAACCAGCCGGTGGCCCCGCATATAATGTTTCAACATGCAGCAGTATGATGCGTTTGTGCATAGGAGTGGGACTCGTAACTGCAAGCAACGGTGGTTACAGTTTTACATCAATGGCCGGAATGGGCACTTGGATCCACATGAATGCTGTCGCATTGTCGGCTGATTCGGTTTTATTTCTACTAAAGAACGAGATAGATTTAAAATCATGGTTTGGGTTTGTCCCGGAATTCTTACAACATACCAACATGAGAAGTTTATATTCTAGTTTGTTGCGAGAAATAGGCCACAAGATGTACAATTGGTTAGAACCAATTGGATTTAAGATCGATGATATGTACTGGCGCTGGGATGATATTTTTTTTTTCTACTTGCGTATGCCCAACTCGACGTATGATTTTCTGCGTTATAGTGGTGTTCCATCATCACTCACATTGCAATGGAACACCAAATGTGCCATGGCTGATAATACACCTGCGCAAGACATCAAGATTGTCGTCACAGATTCCGGAGTCACCTTCTACGGTAATCCAATCGTCTTTGGAAACGGTGTAACCAAGCTGATATATTCAATGACTACGGATATACTTAGATATTCTCCAAGAATATTGATTCGCCCGTTGGGTGCGCGGAATATGCTCATGGGCGTGAACGTGGAAAGCTGGGGCAGCCTGAGCACTGGCAGAGAGTACAATCCGACCGACACTCAGTATTTCCAATCAAACACGTTACTGTATTGCTGTAGATATCCGCAGGCGGTGTGTGCTGGTGACAACGAGATGTGGACCACGGGCGCTATGGCAGCGCTAAAGGGAGCTGATGCTTATTCACATCGCATCTCAGCCATTCAATATCCTGACTCTGATACAGCGGATAGTTTTTTACAGAAAGCTCTCGGCGTGTTGGCCGCCCCTGTAGTAGCAGGTTACAAAGCATACACGACGAAGGGCCCAGTAGCAGCACTGACGGCGGCCAGTGGCAAACTAGCGGAAATAGCTGGCAAGGAAATTCAGGACCTTCCTCCAGGTGGAAACGCTGGGATGGTGGGTCAACCAAGAGACACAGCCTTGGCTTGACCTGGAACACGTCAACAAAGCGCCAAAGCGCTCTCGTATCAACTAATAAAGACCATTAAGATTTACAATTAAATTTCCACCACACGAAGAAATTAAATTAGGCAGCCACTCATAATAATTTATACGATTCTGTATAGTAAGAGAGCGTTGTCAGATATATTGAAGGTTGGAAAAATGCGTTCAATGTATTCGTTTCTTCAGCCAGATTACACATACGCGAGTTCCTCAATTCGAATTTGTAAAGATTTTACGTAATGGCCCGATAGCTTATTTTGACGTCACTCAGTATGGATTTTCGCCTAGACTTCGAAAACGATTTGATTACAAAATGCACGTATATTGTATCTAATATTATTGTCTGATAATTATCTCTAATAAACTATTTCTTTCTTTCGTAAGTTGCTACAAAAACCCATTTACCTAAAAGAATTATCGTAAGTTGCTACAAAATCTCGTTTAAGTAATGCTCGTGTAAACGTAGTGTTAGTTGTTCAATTGAAGCTTTAGAAGAAACTGCCTTTTCGTTTTAGATAACTCTGATATATGATTTGCCGCAATATAGATCAAGCTAAGGATATTTTATTAATATTTAAAAAAAGTTTTTGTAATTTTAAATAACTTAAAAACTAGAGAAATTAATAAGTATTGAAGAATTATAGTTTTATTATAAACGTCTACATTTATATCATTCTCAGCGTACCCATTATAAGATTAGTGCAATGCATAAGCAATATTGAGCTATTACATATTTAGATCCTACTCTGATATCCACATCCACTGTGAACAACGGTATTCACGGAAAAACGGTACGCTTATTCACGACCGTGGGTACAACTGAGGCTAATCCATCGTCATCTGTAATAATTCCAAATGTCAAGAAAGAGCTCGAGCCCTCGCCAAATAAAACAAATTCTACAAGTGAACAGAAGTCGAAACCAGGTAATGTTGAAAATTTAT